TGAAAGCACTTTCATTCTCCTCCTCACACAGGGAAAGAAAAAGCCCCACATTTTTTATATTAATTCAAAAGTCTGCTGTGTTTCATCATCTATCATTGAGTTATTATAAAATGTATTTCCAATAAATTGCAATGCCTATGAGCACATGTCCAGCTTATTTTCCCCAGAATCATAGATGATAAACCATAGCTAATTAAACTACTTAAGTTGTAGGTAACAACAATATTCTATTAGTATTCTTTATTCATAAGCACATGATCATTTCTATAAATTAAGACCCTCCATGAAAAAGAATTTTCAAGCTTCTTGTTAGGTATGGCTCATAATATACCAGTAAAGAGGACAGGAGATGGAGCGGAGTGAGCGAAGCGAACGCAGCGAACATCAACTGTCCTTACAAAGAAAGTCTCGTTGTGGGGTTACGAATTATGTGGGTTGGGGGTGCGGGGGCGTAGCCCTCGCGGTACGGTACAGGGTTAATTTTGTAATTATGTACCAGGGTTTTCTATTATAAATAGAGATGTAACCTAGACCTAAAATATCATTGAATAAAAACTTCTAGCGCCGCCTAGGCACCGAGGACGTAAGCACATTGCCGAACCTCATAAAATTCTCGTGTTCTTTTGTTTTCTTTACCCGTTTTCGTCAACAATTGGTATCAGATGTCAGGAGCAAAATTCGAAGTCGCGAAATTCGATGGTCAGGGTAACTTCGGATTATGACAAACGAGGGTGAAGGATCTATTGGCGCAGCAAGGGATCTTGAAGGCTTTGCGATCTACAAAGCCGGCGTCAATGGATGAGGAAGATTGGGAAGAATTGCAGCAGCGAGCGGCAGGAACCATACGATTATGCTTGGCGGACGAGGTCATGTATCACGTCATGCATCTATCGTCTCCAGACGAAATTTGGAGGAAGTTGGAAAGTCAGTTTATGTCCAAATCCTTAACGACAAAACTGTATCTGAAGCAGCGGCTGTATGGGCTGAAGATACAGGACGATCACGATTTGGCACAACACGTGAATGTCTTCAATCAAATCGTTTCTGATCTGGCTCGGCTTGATGTGAAAATTGAGGATGAAGACAGAGCGATGATACTGTTGTGTTCGTTGCCTCCCTCTTACGAACACATGGTGACTACTCTTACATATGGGAAAGAGACTATCAATGTTGAGGAGATTACTGCAGCCTTGTTGGCTCACAACCAGCGGAAGCAGAATGCAGGGGAAAGCTCTCAAGCCGATAGCTTATATGTCAAGGGTAATCGAGATCGTGGACGGAAGCCAGAGAAGGCAGGGTCCGGGAAGCGGAATTCCAGATCCAAATCCAGGGATAAGAAGACGATTCACTGTTACAAGTGCAAGGAGGCGGGACATATGAAGCGAGACTGTCCGAAGTTGAAAAAGCAGACAGATGAGAAGCGTGATGGCTCATCCAAGTCTGTGAACGTGGTCGAGGATGATAATTCTGATTGCAGTGAGGGTGATATGCTTTCTATTTCAACGACACAATTGACGGATGCTTGGATTCTTGATTCTGGATGTTCTTATCACATCACGCCAAATAGGGAATGGTTTTCGACATACAGGCCGGTTAATTCTGGTTCGGTTTATTTGGGTGATGATCGATGTTGCAATATTGTTGGTATTGGTGATGTCAGAATTAAGATGCACGATGGCTCCGTTCGGACGTTGAGTGGTGTTCGACATATCCCAGACTTGAAGAAGAATTTGATTTCCTTGGGCACTTTGCACAAGAATGGTTTTATCCCTAAGGCTGACGAGGATAGGGAAACCATTCGGATTGTTAAAGAAGCATTGACTGTGATGAAAGGCAAGATGACTGCAGGGAATATTTACAGATTGTTAGGGAGTACCGTTGCAGGTGGAGTTCACTCTGTTGAGTCGTGTGATGATACGACAAAATTGTGGCATATGCGCCTTGCTCATCTTAGTGAACGTGGTATGGCAGAATTACACAAGAGAAACTTGTTGCATGGTGTCAAAAGCTATAAGCTCGACTTTTGCAAGTATTGTGTTCTTGGTAAACAGACTAAAGTCCGTTTCAAGACTGCGAAGCACACAACTCAAGGGATTCTTGATTATGTGCATTCTGATGTATGGGGGCCTTCCACGACATCGTCTTTGGGTGGATCTAGGTACTATGTTACTTTTATTGATGATTTTTCACGGAAAGTTTGGGTGTATTTTTTGAAACAGAAATCTGAAGTTTTTGAGAAGTTCAAGCTGTGGAAAGCTGAGGTAGAAACCAAACAGGACGAAAAATCAAGTGTTTGCGTCTGACAATGGTACGGAGTACACAGATTCACAGTTCCTACAATTCTGTAAGGAGCATGGGATTCAGAGGCATTTTACAGTGCACAAGACACCACAACAGAATGGTGTTGCAGAACGAATGAACATGTCGTTGAATGAAAGAGCCAGATGTTTGCGGTTGAATGCGGGGCTTCCCAAACACTTCTGGGCTGAGGCTGTTAACATGGCGTGTTACCTTATCAACAGATCGCCAAGGGCATCGCTGGCTGGGAAAGTTGCATAAGAGGTATGGACTGGTCATGATGTTAGTTTTGATAACTTACGGATTTTTGGTTGTCCTGCTTATGTGCATGTACCTGCTGATGAGAGATCCAAACTTGATGCAAAATCGAAGGACTGCATTTTTCTGGGTTACAAGAAAGGTGTCAAAGGATTCAAGTTCTGGGATCCAGTTGCGAAGAAAGTTGTGATTAGTAGAGATGTCGTTTTTGATGAACAATCCATGTTGCAGCAGAAGCAAGACACGACAGTGGTGGATTTCGAGCAGTTTCCAGTTGAGAAACCAGAAACTTCTCAACCGACTTCTGGTGGTTCCACTACGGATGATTTGCAGGATTATAGTCTCGCCAGAGACAGGGTGAGACGGACGAATATAAAGCCTCCGAACAGATTGGGTTTTGAAGACTTGGTATCTTTTGCACTTATTGTTAACAGTGATGATCCGATTACTTTTCATGATGCCGTTACTAGTCAGGAAAACGACAAGTGGATGGCAGCCATGGTTGAGGAGATGGAGTCTTTGAATCACAATCGCACATGGGAGTTAGTTCCCCTTCCTGAGGGTAAGAAGCCGATTGGTTGCAAATGGGTGTATAAGAAGAAACCAGTAGTAACAGAAAAAGAGGGGGAGAAGTTCAAGGCTCGTTTGGTAGCGAAGGGTTTTTCACAGCAGAAAGGAGTTGATTATGATGAAATCTTTTCTCCTGTGGTCAGGCACACTTCAATCCGAGCAGTACTTGCATTGGTGGCTAGTTGGGATTTGCATTTAGAGCAGATGGATGTTAAAACTGCTTTTTTGCATGGTGATTTAGAGGAGCAGATCTACATGCGACAACCTGAAGGTTTCACTCAACCTGGAAACGAGCATTTAGTTTGCAGATTGAAGAAATCTTTGTACGGGTTGAAACAGTCTCCGAGACAGTGGTATAAACGGTTTGACTCCTATATGATCAAGATTTGCTACAACCGATGTGAGTATGATTGTTGTGTCTATGTTAAGAGCCTTGATGATGGTTCTTTTATTTTTCTATTACTGTATGTTGATGATATGCTGATTGCTGCGAAGAACATGGATGATGTTATCGGTTTGAAAACTTTATTGAGTCAGGAATTTGATATGAAAGATTTAGGTGCTGCAAAGAAAATTCTTGGAATGGAAATTTGCAGGGACAGAGACTCAAGGAAACTGCGGCTATCTCAACGGGGTTATGTTGAGAAAATGCTAGAAAGGTTTGCGATGAGCAGCGCGAAACCAGTTAGCACTCCATTGGGGAATCACTTTAAGCTCTCATCAGAACAGTGCCCCAAGACAGATAAGGAAGCTGAAGATATGGCAAAGGTTCCGTATTCTAATGCTGTTGGCTGCTTGATGTATGCGATGGTATGTACTCGTCCTGATTTAGCTCATGCTGTTAGTCAAGTTTGTAAGTACATGTCTAAACCTGGTAAGCAACATTGGGAAGCAGTCAAGTGGATCTTTCGGTACTTAAAGGGTACTGTGGGACATGGAATTGTTTTTGGGAGTCAGCGGGATAATCCTTTGGTTGTAGGATATGTGGATTCAGACTATGCAGGTGACTTGGATAATAGAAGATCTACGACAGGGTATGTCTTTACTCTTGGTGGAGGGCCTATTTGTTGGAAGTCTACTGTTCAATCTATTGTGGCTCTATCTACAACTGAAGCTGAGTACATGGCAGCGGCTGAAGCTGCAAAAGAAGCTTTATGGCTTACTGGTTTAGTGAAGGAGTTGGGTGTTCAACAAGGTGGAGTTCAGTTGCTTTGTGATAATCAAAGTGCTATTCACTTGGCTAAGAATCAGGTGTATCGTGCTAGAACTAAACATTGATGTAAGGTTCCACAAGATCAGAGAGTTGGTTGCATCTGGAGAGGTTTTGTTTCAGAAGGTACATACTGATGAAAATGCCGCTGATATGTTCACTAAGCCAGTTACGACAGACAAGTTCAAGCATTGCTTGGACTTGTTGAATGTTTCGAGTTGTTAAAGAATCAAGGTAACCCAACCCACATTGAATTTTCAAGAGGCAGGATATTCGCCAAGGTGGAGATTTGTTAGGTATGGCTCATAAATATACCAGTAAAGAGGACAGGAGATGGAGCGGAGTGAGCGAAGCGAACGCAGCGAACATCAACTGTCCTTACAAAGAAATCTCGTTGTGGGGTTACGAATTATGTGGGTTGGGGGTGCGGGGGCGTAGGCCTCGCGGTACGGTACAGGGTTAATTTTGTAATTATGTACCAGGGTTTTCTATTATAAATAGAGATGTAACCTAGACCTAAAATATCATTGAATAAAAACTTCTAGCACCGCCTAGGCACCGAGGACGTAAGCACATTGCCGAACCTCGTAAAATTCTCGTGTTCTTTTGTTTTCTTTACCCATTTTCGTCAACACTTCTCTATTGAGCTTATACCAAAGAGAAAATGGCAGCAGCGGGTTTTTTCTTTTCAGTAACTGCTCTTGTCATCCTCATTCAGCTGGCAACGAACCTGAATTCATGTTTAGCTGCGACACCGGTTCACCGCAGTGGAAGGAGGAGCACTCAATTTATAAGAACCTCTTGCCGTACTACCCTTCATCCCAACTTGTGTTTCACCACCTTCGCTCGATACGCGACCAGAGTCCGAGGTAGCTCCAGATCGTTAGCCACCACAGCCCTCTCCTTGGCATTCAACACGACTCATTTCACTACGAAATCGATCATATCTCTCTCCAAACGCCACGGCTTAAAGCGTAGAGAGGCCGCCGCCTTGCGGGATTGTGTGGAACAACTAGGGGACTCCGTTAATGAGCTGAAATACTCCATCACAAAACTAAGTCCAGCTACTGCGGGAAGCAGGGATTTTCGACGTCAAATGAGTGATATACAGACATGGGTGAGTGCAGCTTTAACTAACGAGGATACCTGCATGGATGGCTTGTCTGGGAAATCCATTAACCGTAATTTGAAGACTGGAGTGAGAAGAAGAGTGGTGAAGGTTGCACATTTGACGAGTTTCGCTTTGGCTTTCGTCAACCGCTATGCTGCAGCAGCCACTCATAAATGATATCGCCATTTGTCTTGTGCATTGAGTGAGGTATTGCCTTTACAGTTTGTATTGATTTGCATTTTTGTTAGCCAGCTAAATAAAGCTAGGGTTTTTCAAATTGATATCGACTAAAAATCTTTATTTCCTTAAGCAAAATTGATGTTTGATCTAAATTTGCAATATCAGAGTATTGTCTTTCTTGTCTCTATTTCCCCCAGAATTATCTTAACGTTGTTGGTTTAATTTTTTGTACCATTTCGAAGATGAATAAGATTTTCCATTTATTCACATCAAAATAGAAGCGTTAAATACATAAATAACCATGTACAAAATCCAAATTACTTGTGTAGCATTCCGATTTTAACTTGAAATTGTTGGTTTCCAGTCTCAAAATTTCTTTTTGTTGGAACCACATGTCTCGTGACTCGTAAGCTTTCTCTTCCGATAAATTCAGTCCCTCTCTTCCTCAACACAGCCCATCTATGGGTAAATGTAAAATATAATACATGAGCTTAAAATTTAGAAACCTCACACTGTAAAATATATTTTGATTTTTTTTTAAAGTGTTATAATGATTGACACTTTTTAAATAAAATATTACGATATAAAGTTGTTTTGTGATATTTCCTTATTTTCCTATATTTGAATTTTTATTTTATTTTATAAGAAACAATCGTATCATGATAAATTTTGATATTTTATAATTTCGGTTTATTATAAAATATTTGAAAGACCTTATTTTAAAAAGAAAATAACTTCAGTGACCGAAAATGCTTTATAATATACAATTTTAATCAACTTTTTTTGGATTTACGAAAATAACCAACAAATTCGCAATGCAAACACCAGTTTCGCAACACAGTTTTCAAATTCGCAACGCTAATTACCGATATAGGTAAACACGCAACTCAGTTTTTAAATTCGCAACGCGATTCTCCAAAATCGCAACGTGAATTTCGTTTTAGCAACGCTAATTATCTATATAGGTAAACACTACTATTCGCAACTCAGTTTTCGTTTTCACAACGCGAATTTCGTAACTCGAATTCGCCAATTTCGTAACTAAATTACCGATATAGGTAAACTCGGTAGAAAAAATTCGGTAAAAATCCGAATTCGACAATTTGAAAACTAAGTTGTGTTTACCTATATCGGTAATTAGCGTTGCGAAATTCAAGTTGCGAAAACGAAATTCGCGTTGCGATTTTGGAGAATCGCGTTACGAATTTGAAAACTGAGTTGCGAATAGTTGTGTTTACCTATATCGGTAATTAACGTTGCGAAAACAAAATTTGCGTTGCGATTTTTGAGAATCGCGTTGCGAATAGTTGTTTTTACCTATATCGATAATTATTGTTGCAAAATTCGAGCTGGGAATTTGAAAACTGAGTTGCAAATAATTGTATTTACCTATATCGATAATTATCGTTGCGAATTTGAAAATCGCGTTGCGAATTTGGAGAATCGCATTGCAAATTTGAAAACTGAGTTGCGAATAGTTGTGTTCACCTATATCGGTAATTAACATTGCGAAATTCGAGTTGCGAAAACGAAATTCGCGTTGAATTTTTAGAGAATCGCGTTGTGAATATGAAAACTGAACTGTGAATAATTGTGTTTACCTATATCGGTAATTAACGTTTTGAAATTAAGGTTACAAAAATGAAATTCACGTTACGAATTTGAAAATCGCGTTACGAATTTGAGAATCTCGTTGCGATTTTGAAAACTGCGTTGCGAATTTGTTGGTTATTTTCATAAATCTAAAAAAAGTTGGTTAAAATCGTATATTATAAAGTATTTTCAGTCACTGAAATTATTTTCTCAAATGAAACACGACTTCCAAATCTTTTAGGACGGACATGCCCCCAACACCAGTAAATCTTTCAAGATTTGCTCCAGAAAGAGAAAAGCGAGCAAAATAGCAGTTAGTTCACACTTTTCACCGGCATCTATTTTCATTCTCATTCTCTTTACAGCTCACCCAAACTTCTTATCAGTCAGAAAATCTCAGCTTCCACACAAATAAAAGTTCATCAAAACTTCGTGTGACGCCACCACCCCCCCAACCTGTGTTTCGCCACCATTTCTAGATACGCAAGCGAAATCCAGGCCAACCCCAAAATATTAGCCACCAAGTCTCTCTCTCTTTGGCACTTAACACCACGCTTTCAGCTTCACAAACCCTGACGAATCTCTGCAAAACGCAGGGACTAAAGCCTAAAGAGGAAGCGGCTCTTCACGACTGTGTGGAAGAAATAAGCGATTCGGTTGATGAATTCAGAAGGTCCATTTCTGAAATGAAAGATAGTCAAGGCATAAGCTTTGCATTCAGAATGAGTGATGTGGAAACATGGGTCAGTGCAGCATTGACTGATGACGATACCTGCATGGATGGCTTCTACGAGAATGACATGGATGGAGATGTCAAAGCCACAGTGAAGACGGCAATCGAAAAAGTTGCACAGTTGACAAGCATTTCATTGGCTTTTGTCAACCAGTATGCTGGAAGCAAATAGTAAACTGTTATATTTCATAAACATGTACTGCAATTCATTTCATATGCAATACTATTTCAACCTCTTCCTTTTTTTCCCCCTGAATAATTTTACATTTGAGTATCATTTCCTATACTTTATCATCAGTTTCATGTGCAACTCTCTCTATTAACTTATGTGATAGCAAAACCTTGTTTCCACGTGGTCCTACTTATCACAAAATGAAGGCCCAAAATAACCTACCTGCCCTCCCTAACTCACCACGTGAACGGAGAGAAGTTATCAAGAATCCATATAACACGAAAATTTGATCACCAATTTTATTCAACAGTGACCGATTATTGGAAAAGATTATAACGGAAGAGAAAGAGCAAAAAGGGAAATGAATTTATCGAAAATTTAAATATTTCGATGTTTTCCTTTTTTTCCCCTTAATACAAAACTCGATATGCGCGTTGAAAATGAGTATATATATTAACATCTAATCCAGAAATTATACATACAGGCTTGTGATGAGATATGCCGGTTCTCATCTCCAGAAACTCCTGCCTCTACTTTTCAGCATTATGTTACTAAACCAACCCCAGATTCAGAGATTTAATATGCCTAAAATATGATTTTCTTAAGTAAAAGAACAATTTATTAAGCAAAATTAAAATTCATAAATACAACCAAAAGACAAACGAAAGCAAAGTTGAAACCCCAAGTCATGGTACTTACCCAATCACAGGCCTTCAAAGTCATTAGGTACCCGACAAGCCAATATACCCTATCTTTGGCCCTTTGATATCTTGCATAACAAGCACATAAAGAGTATTAGGAAATCTCTCATTCAGTAAAGTCCGTATTTAATAAGACTACCTAAAAGGCACACTAGCCGCCTTAATCAAGTACATGGCTGCCTACGCAGGACTTAAAATTTCCAATTCGGCATTTGACTTTCAAATTTTAATAAACCCGAAGAAACCAATACAAGACTAATCATCATTCTCCAGCAGACTGGATTCCCATGTAATTTCTTCTTATTGTGGAATCAATGGGTATAATTAGCTACCACTGCAGCTGACAATGAAAGGTTTGACAAAGTTGATGAATTCAGAGGTTCTGATTCCAATCTTCAGATCAACCTTGCCTCCCCCCAACCAGAAGAAATCGGGATTAAGCTTTACAATGGCTTCATCTAAAATTACCTGAAACCAGTTTAATTCTCCAGTTACTAGAACCATGATGAAAAACATTAAACCTTTTTCTCTGTCTTTCATGGTGCATACATGGGCATGGGCAATGTCATGCATATTAGTCTAATCAAGATGGATCATACCTCCAATGAGAAACATTAAAATTGATTTTCTGTTTCTTGAAGAAATTTGTAATATAGTTTCTCAGTTCTCATCACTAATCACCCCTTAAATTTACACCGTCTCAAAAGAAACATCACCCTAGCAACTAATTTTTTAATCTTAGGCTTCCATCACTCAGTTTACACAAGCTATCTTTGTATGCTAAAGGAATTTGCAGATATACAGACAACAAAACAATAATCTCTAGAAGTGCATTCTCAATGTGAAAGACTGGCGGTAAATGATTTGAGCTGACTTTAGGAACAATGGACCAACCCAAAAGCTTGCAGATAGATTAAAAAACTGGTGTCTATCTGTTGCTATGCTCAAATACATGAAACAGACTTGAAAACAACATAATTTTTACTGTTTGACTGTGCATACAAACCAGGCAAATGGTTCTAAGCATGAGAAGAATGGATATCTGCCCAGGCAACTAACACCTAGGGTCCTCATTTGATCATCCTACAGGACAGGCATTGAAGGAGATACTGTCTAAAAGACAAGTAAAGGTACCATTTTCATACGAAAAACCTCGTCAAAGCAATGAGATGTCTAAAAGAAAAATGAAATGACACTTTTTAGAAACTTCCTTGTTCCTTGCATTGAAGGAAGGGGAGGTAGAAAGAAAAGGAAAAACAATTAGATGTCATGTAAAGCAAGAATATAAAGGTTTGCGTAAAGAGCACTTACTGGAATGTCAGTTTGCATACCAATGCAAGTAACTGCATTGTGTTCATAGCCAGTCAACTTAATTGATGTCTCCTCGGGAGCAAGTCTCACTGAATTATTTAAAATAAGTAATAATTAACTAAATATTTTGGAGATCTCAACCTTAAAGAAATCTTCCAACCATATAGAGAATGATAGGAGAAAATATTGCACCAAAAGTTGAATGGTTTCTTCTTCCCAATATTAAAAAAATGGCATCCTTAAGGAAAACATTAATCATCAACTTGACCATCCAACAGAATAATAAAAAACTTTACAAGCTGGCATCTCATATCTTCATAGATGGTTTAATAAAATTCAAACAAATCGGCATTGCAGTAGAATCAAAAATAATGAACACCAGATAGCTTTATTAACATTGGCAGTCATAAGCATAAATGCACCTATTCGTCAACAACTTTTGCATACAAGCCAAAAATGTTACAGTGTATTGGTAACAGGCTAACAGCTTGCATTTTACTACTCTCTAGTTCTCTCTCAATTAATGATTCAGCTGATGCTGAAACTAGTCCTCGCCTTCTCGGCAAATGGCACTAAGTGAACCAATATATAGACCAAAAATGTATTGGTAAGATGGTGATAACTAGCAATTTATTACTCCATAGCTTCCCTTAATTAATCATTCAGTTCATGCTGAAACTAGTTAAATGACAATAAATGAACTAATTCCTGCCCCTGTTTAATTAACTAACTTTTTTCTGTGAGCGATGCAAACAGCTTAAGATTTTCAACTAGTTACGGTTGTATCTAAACTGACATGAAGTGCAGGCTACCAAATATAAGAAAACAAAGTTTGTGTTACTCATGGAAATAAGAATGTTATTACTATTCAAAATTCATTAGCTTCTCCAAACTGAAATAATGAAAAGGAAAGAGAATAAGACAACAATGACGAAGAAAGGTCTGTAAGACTCTTACAATCAATTTATAATATGATTCATCTTGAACAAATTATCAAATAAATAAGTTGACGAGAAAATAAGGGCAATTAGGACTCCATCACTCTTTGCACACAATGAGATTAATCAAGACTTAGGGCATCATGTATTAATACATGAATGATGTGTACTGGCACCAAGCTGCCAGAATATAACATTGAAACCAACTAAACTCAAATATGTCAGGATCTTTAAGTGTTATCTCTTGGCTTCTAGCCTGCTAAATTCATGTGCTTCGAATCTTCATTATAGTCAAATGTTCATGTTGGATCTTTAGGTATAAACACATTTCAAAAAAGCTAGAATAATCTAATAATAATTTCAAAGAAAATCCTTGAATTTTAAAGATGTCATTTTAACATAAAGAGGATTACAAACAAATAAACTTACAGTTAAATTTCTTCTTTGATATCTTGCCATTGTTGAGTGTGTAGAGAAAATTTTTGACAGTTTCAGCATTGAATCTAGCAGTATACTGCAATATGAAAGGGTGTAAATGTAAGATCCTTCTTATAGGGGCATCTTGTTGATACATAGAGAAAAGGAAGTTACCTGGACTACAACAACATAATACTTTGAATTGTTCCAATCACTACAGTCAATTACATTGGACGGGGCTTGAGTATTGACCTGAGCATACAAAGCAGCCTTAGTAAATAGTATGGTAGATCAAAATGTGCAAAATCAACTTATGGTCTTTTGCACTAGAAAATGAAAAGCCACCATAAAAATGGAAGGAGTGAAGGTAAGAGGCTGTCATGTTGAAAACAGAGAATATGCTCTGAATGCTTTGCAGTTTAACGTTTTAACTCTCTGCTAATACCCAACCACCAATAAAACCTTCTTCTTCAATCCACATGAAACTCCTAACAACAGAAAATGTTTATATTCAAACATGGACCAACTGTGAAAAAACCAAGACAGGAGGTACTGATGTATTTTTACATTTCATACAAATATGATGTTTAATGCTAAATGACTTCAAAAAGTGGGGAAATGGCTATAGTTCACTGCTCATATCAGAACTTCGAACCTATGATCATCCTAACACCATATTCTGTACAGAACTCATAAATTTCCACATGTACAAGGTGTATGACAACATGTAATATCAACTCAAAATTGCCCACCACGAGTTGGTGATCCAAGCTATATTTCACATTACAGCCACACGTCAAGTCACTAGCTCCGCAAATGCACAATACAAGCATTTTTAGTAGATTTAAAATGCATTTGCATTTCACCTCCTTAACTAAAGCAACCAACTTTTTCGCCTTCTGAACAACCAAAATCACATTCTCATGTCAGCTGCTTCACTACTTCAAATCATCTTTCTTCAATGATGTAGTTCGGCATTGTAATGAAATGAATCCATGGCTAATTTTTAAAATAAAAATCTAGATGCACAACTTAATTGCTTCTCAATCTTAAATTTATCGCTAATTGCTTGAATCTAATAACAAAAAAGAAAAAGAAAAACTAATGACAAGGGAATACGAGGACTAAAGAAATTCACAGAGATTATCTCATGCTAAAAATCAAATCAGAAACTCGTAGCTAATTAAGAAAAAAATTACTAAATTGAACTAATTAATCAAATTGAAGTAAAATAGTATAATGACAAACCAAAACGATGCTTTTGCAAAGATGATGGACAGAGGCGGCGCCAAGGGCGTCGCGGCGGGATTCGAAAGGCCAGTCATAATAATCGGAGGCGACTCTCTTGAACATGAAGTCATTGACGCCATTCGACCGTAGAATATTGAAAAGGCGAGATTCGACATCGGCGCTGGTATAGCCATTGGTGAGAGGAGAGGAAGAAGAGATAGGTTCGGCATTTTGAGGCAGGTGAGAGAGCTCTAGCTTCAATATTCGTTCGAGGATTCGAGTCTGGACTCGCTCTAGCTCTGCCAACGCCTCCATTTTTACAGCTAATGCTAGGGGAGGGAATTTTGGGGTTTGCCTGCGGTTTAAAGATGCGGGAGGTAGGGATTGTGTTATACAAAAGAGTAAATTACTCAATTCATCACTAAACTTTATTCTCACTCCTACTTTGGTCAATCAAGTCTAAAAGATTTCAATCTAATAATTAAACTTTACCCATGAAATCTTTTTGTTACTGATAAAGTCTGCTCGTGGTGCCTTATTATGATTTGATTCTAACATCGTACTCTTCTTGAGCAGCTTCCTTCCAACGTTCATTACACCTGACTTCGTTAATGGTTCTTGGTTCACAAACGCAAACTTGTGACTCAACCACATAATATACTTTAGGTTTTTTAATCCCACTTTTACATTGCGTCATCGTAGGATGCTGATTTTCCACCATAGATTGTAAATTTTACATCTATAATTGAACATTTTCATTCCTTTGATCATTCAAGTGAGACAAAGAATCATGTCCAACAATTTGCTCATTTAAAAAATCAGTATCCAACAATACGTGTAACGACCCGAGATACGAACCGCTACTCAAATCTTAACTTAAGATCTAAATATCGAAGTGTTAGTGTGTGTTAAGGTTTGTTGGACTTATAAGTTGGGCTTGCCTTGGGTTTGGTCTTGACCTAATTGTTATGAAAGTCTACACTTTAAAAGTCCATGAATTCTTAGAGGATTTAGGTTGTAATTATACCCTTAAAATGGATTAAATGAAAAAGTAGTTTGTCTGGATGTGTGGTTTTTGAACTAATAGCTGAGCACTAGGAAAAGGAAAAAAGAAAAAGGAAACTTCCCCCACGCCACTTTTGTTTTTTTTCTCTCTTAAGTTTTGTTTCTTCCTCTTTTATTCTCTCTTCCTTTTCCCACCCTTCTCCTTCATTGTTGAAGCTCAAAATTGTTCAAAACTCAACTTTTTATCTCTCTCTTGATAGATTAAGTTAAAGGTTATACTTCCTTACTTTGAGCTCCAAACCAAGCTCACCACCTCCTTGGAAGAATGGTGTAAGGTAATAGAGGGTTTTAAAAAGGGGGTTAGTGTTGAAGACACCATAGATAGTCTTAGCTCGTTTTTGTTATTCCCACATGACTTTCATCTTCTCCTTATCATTTTATTGTGTGTAAAAGCTTCCCCTTATTGTGTTGTTAGTTAAGATGCAAGGAGAGACTTCCAAAGCTAAGGAGAAGGGGGTTGTCATTGAAGGTTGAGGAAGGAAGTTTCTTTCTTGAAACTTGGAGGTGATACTCAACTTATTTGATGTGCTCCATGTATGTTGTAATGTGGTGCTTGGTTGCTTAATATGTGTATGTTGATTTGGTTATGAAATCTTTAAAGGTTGAAAAAAATAATAAGGATAATCAATAATGTAATTGTGGTTTACATGAGATCATAATATTATAAACTAGGTTATAATTTAGTTAAACTTCGTAAAGAAATAGATGAAACATTATGGCTTTAAAGGATAAAAAAAGAATTAGAAAGGAATACGAGTAGTGAAGCAGAAATAGAAGAAACAAACAGGAGGGAGATAGGGGTTTAAAGTTTTGGTGAGTTTAAGGTTCATATAAAGGAGGTCTAACTTACTATAATTTAATATATGATTAAAGAAAAGTGTTATTGAAAATGTTAATATATATTTTTAACATTTTCAGTAAAGTGTTATTTAAGATATTATTTTTTTATCGAAAATATTAATGTTTGACGCTATTTAAAATGTTATTTTTTACGGAAAATTAAGTAATAAAATTAATATTTTTGATAAAAAAATAATATTTTAAATAATGTTTCTTCCAAAATGATAAAAAAAATATTAATATTTTTATAGTGTATTTCTTTAATCGTATATTAGATTGTCGTACAACATAAATATCCGTTAATATATATTTGTTGTAAGTTACTAATAAAATAAATGTTTTAATTTTATTAGAGGGGCCCACGTGAATAAAATGAAGACAATGGCAGATTGTAAAATTGTAGGGGGAAATATCATGTTTTGCCTTTTTCTGTTTGTATGTTATTTATTTTAGTCCTCAAATGCTTTGTTAGGTATAAGTTTACATGTGTTTATTTCTATATTTTATAATTTAATCATGTGATTACCATAATTAGTATTATTTGTATGCTCTTTTTATTACTCTCTGAAATGATGAATGTGATTGTAATAGTAAGTATTAATATACACGACCTTATGGGTACTATTATTTTGAACGGTCTTTGTAGCGATCGGGAAAACAATATGGACACACATGATATTATGATCATACGACCTTAGTGGCGCGAGACTATCTGGATACCCAATATTTGATGCATACGCAACCCATCTGTTATATATATAAGCACTATTTCTGATTTTTATGTGACAACATCTTTATCTGATATGTGATATTTATATAAATATCATCGTCTATAATATTCCCTTCAGCTTGTGCAACAATTTGTGAACATGGTTTTGTGCTCACTAAATCCACTTTGTTAATGTTATTAACAAGTTTATAGGTGAGATCAATTTGTGTCTGTTTATCGGCTTGCATTACTTCTTTCATGTAGCTTGAATTGAATAGTTGTGTATTACTGAGTTTGCATATGTATTTAAGTAATTTATTTAAACGCATTTTAAATTATGGACAATGATTAATTTGTGTGTTATTATTTGAAGGTACTCGTGACTCTCTCAATCGTTCGACAGCTCGACTCAGCTCCTCTCGATCCGTTCAATCCCGTGAGCTAGTGATTACCCATATGATTCGTAAACCCTAAGGATACTCAAATTAAAATATTATTCCGATAATAACTCTGTTGCATTATGAATTAGGTTCGAGCACTGCTGCAAAGTGTGTCAAGGTAAGTGCTCAGTAGACTCCAATTGATTCCTTTTTGCGAGGTGTGTTCCCTATGTGATATATGATTGTTTTATTTGTTTTGAAATGTAATTTACCGAAGTTACTGATTTACTGAATCTTTTAACTGTTTGATATTATGATTTATTGATTTACTGTTTATGAAATATGATTGTTTGATAAATGTTATCTGGTTACTTATTGTCACTAGGAAATATGATTATGCCGATGTATGGATCATGAAATTTAATGCTTACTATGTGAACTATTTTATTGAGATACTGTTTGGGTAGGATTTTGGAGTATGGAGGTTCAACTCTAATCAATCTGGTAATTCCTTACGACCTAAGATGACTCTTGAGTAGACTTCGAGGTCCCAAGAACTTTCTTGGGTAGGCTCTCAGGCCCCAAGATACTCCCTTAGGTTGACCCCTATATCTAATGGGTATATGATAAGTTGGATGTAGTCTGGGGATTGCATTACGGTGTACGAGAGGAGGGTATTTATGAATTTTAAAATATAAACCTCATTGTTACTTTACAAAACGTTATTGAATTATTTTCTAAATACTTTTCTATGACATTTTATTTGTACTGTTGAAACATGCCGAGCTCCCTAGCTTACTTCCCAAACTTTCTCCCTTTCAGATGCTTTCGGATAGACACCCTTAACATGGCATTGGAAGGATCGACACATCACCTACAATATTTTTTATTGTGATGTTTCTATCTTCTAGTCTGCCTTTATTTGGTTACATGTGGCAATATTTTGAGCTACATATACTTTATGACATATACTTCTTTTACTGATGTCGTATAAATTGTTTTATTACTGGCTATTTACTATTTGGTGTTTTTCATGATATTTTACGCTTATATTAATGTTTTGGGTAATACCATGAATTTAAAATAGTAAAGGATGTTTTGAAAATTTTCAATGTAATCCGCTAGATCTAGTTGTAACGTAGATGCTAAGTCTAGGGGGTTACACGTCGACATCTTTTCAGAATTTCAGCAGCCAGCTTTTCAAAGTACAATATATTTTTACTTTTAGAGGGCATGTATGTCATAGGACCCTTTATGATTCAGTTTGTAACTCTTAATTTCATTGTTGGTTTATTTTGACATTTGTTATGTTGGAGCTCCACATTTTGTAAAACTGTTTCATTTATGTTTTGTTTTTTTATATATATTAGTATCATTTCAAACTATATTTTTATTTGTTTAAAAAAATATTTAACTTGGAACTTTAAGTTAAGATCACTCTAGTGATCCGAACGTGACTCCCTTAGACCTTTGGATATTTAGAGTCGAGTTTCGGGTGTTACAACACGTGGTTTGTTGTTCTCTTCCACCAACTAACTCAAATAGTTACCTTGTATAAATAGTGCCTGGTCTCTTATGAGGTATTACAGACTTATTAGTAAATGTGTGCGAATACCACCTCTATTTCCTCTCTTCTTTCTCACATATATGCTCTTAGTAATGGTTTCTAAATCATAACATCTCCTTCTCCTTCCCAATTATCCACCAACAATAAGCAAATAACACTAGAAACACAAGATTCCACAATTAAAAATTATTAATTTTAGTTTGTATAAATTGTAATTTTTAAATTTAATGTTATAACAATTTTATTTATGTATGTTTAATTTTTTTTCAAAACATACTTCTATATACAGAAAGATATAGATTAAATATATATATATATATGGGAAGGTAATTATTTCCAACAAATCAAAGTTAATTTGTTATAGTTTATATATAATTTTAGTTCTTCCATAATTTTTAAAACTGAATTAGATGAATTCATTTTTTAAATTAAATTCGGTCAGAATATTTAATAATTATTATTATCAGTAAATGGGTCGATATTGACGAGCTTATTGAGTATTGGATTCAATGGGCCTGTGGTTTTGAGTGTTACAAAGACTCCACCGCACAACACATACAATTTACCAAATTCAGAACTACTGTTTGGTTTCAGAGAAAGCGAAGGAAGAAAAATAAGAGAAAAAAACAGAAAGAATGGCAGGACGATTGAGTAACGTAGCGTCAAAGATCATGGGCGGAAACGGCATCGTTTCTCGCTCCGCTGCTTCCTCTCTCCGCCTCCGTTCCGGCATGGGTCTCCCTGTTGGCAAACACATCGTGCCTGACAAGCCTGTAAGTTTTTAATCTCTACAGGTTCCCTAATTCATTCCTGGACTATATTTAACCAATTAATCGAAAATCTTTAAATATTTTTACTTTTTTTGACGCTTCAGCTTCCTGTTAATGACGAGCTAACTTGGGACAATGGAACTGCCTTCCCAGAACCTTGCATAGATCGAATCGCTGATACTGTCGGAAAGGTAGGAAATTTTTCCTTGTGTGATTTTGGACTATTTGCAGAAATTGAGATTTCCCTCCCTCGTCTCCCTTGCTTATTCTTAGGTTTCATTTTATGTATTTATTTGCTGAGAATAGTACGAGGCATTGGCTTGGCTGTGTGGGGGTTTGAGCTTCTTTGCAGCGTTGGGAACACTAGCTTGGTGGAATGATAAAGCCTCTAAAATTCCATTTGTAAGTAAAAAACACTCTCAGATTTGATATCTGATTTTGCCTTGTTTCAGTTTAGTTTTCTTTATAGCTCGTGAATTTCTTCATGTGATGTTAATTTGTAGCTTGGTGGTGTTTTTGGTGTCCTTAAAATTTCGAAAAAGTAGATAAGTATGATATTGATTGAATCAAATGCCATGGCACCATAGTGTTCACGCTGGTTGTTTGCTAAGAAAAATTGAATCCATGCTCAAGTCAGTGGCGATCATAGAATTAGGGATATGTTAATCTGAATTATTTTTTTTATAACCATCATTATCTAATCTTTTAATCGGCCTAATCCGGATCGAGTACTACAGAGGCCTAAGCCTCCTTGCCCATATAGGGTTGTGGGAAAAATGATTTTCTCATATAAGACATCCACCATATTATTTCTTGAACTAGGGCTTCCTATTGGTCTGAAGACGCCGTGCACTCATGGGGTCTTCTCCGTTTGCCTGAAGACGCCATGCAGTCATAGGGTCTTCTCCATTTTACTGAAGACGCCATGCAATCGTGGAGTCTTCATATTTGGCTTGAAGACACATGGGGCATCTAGGTTCTTTGGGTTGGTACTGTGCAATTCACCATAGATGGGGAAATAATCCCCGAGTTGGATTATATTGGGAATTTTTTCCCACATCATTTACTCAGCCATTTTGCCCCTAATATGGGGTCAACCCTCCCAATCTGGTTTGCTCTATTCGTAAATGTCAGAATTTGAAGCTCTGACATTGCTTAAGGATGGTTGTTATCTGATTAATATTAACTACACATCATAACAAAAAATTGAAGATATTTGTTTGTAGAGGACTCAGTACTAAGGGTGAGTATTCGATTGAGTAGAGTAAAAGAATTTTGATTTGTCTAGTTGACGAGTCTTATTGATTTGTCGAGTTGAGTCTTATTTTACAACTCAAACTTTTTTTGAAATTTTTTTCTAATTGAGTTTAATCAATAGATTTTGAGTTGAGTTGACGAGTCCTATTTTAGAACTCAAATTTTATTTGAATTTTTTTTAGCCGAGTTTATGAAATTCAAGTCAAGTTCTTCATTTTTTTAATTTAATTGTAAATGTTTATAATGTTATCGTACTAATCGATTCCAATATAAACAGCTTTATATAACCATATTTGCTATACATATACCATGCAGAGACGAAGGATTCAGCTTGAACTTGAAAACTAATCCAATAATTACTAAAAAAAAATTAAGTTATTCGATTCCTATTTTGTAACTAAAACTTTATTTGAAATTTTTTCAATCAAGTTTATGAAATTACAAATCAAATTGAGTTGAAAAATTCGATTTTTTCGAGTTAGAGTTTTGTTCATCCCTACTCAGTACTCTAGCCTGTTTTCAACAATCTTTTATAACTCTAAGAAAGAACATTGCTCAAGTTTATGATGTAGGATCCATTTCTTTGGTTCTTGATTCCTTTTCCAATGAACTTGGAAACATAACCAGAAATGGCATTCCCTGTTTAACATTGAATTTTTTAGATGAGCCCTTGCCTTGGAATGAAGACTACTTTGGCTGCATGGCTTACTGTTCCACCAGCTGGAGTTTTATATTCATTAAATGTCCAGTTAGTAAAGTTGACAATATGTTTTGGGGTTTGTAAAAGGCACTTGTAGGATAGTTTCCCTTCATCCCTCTACTTGAGGGATGCAAAAGCACTACCATGTCACCTCCTCAGATATCTCAAATGGATTGTTCAGTAAATGATAATTACAATCTGTGGATATGCCTTTGGTTTTAATGATAGTGACTACAAAACAGCCAAACATAAGCTCTCTGCTCTAACCGGCAAATATATCATTTTGTTTTCATAATACTCCAATTCTGTTCTACTTGAGATATGGCCGATAAAATTTTAATCTGTAATGACTGCATCTGGTTGAGTGATCTCTGTTTTAGAAGGTTTATATCTTTCTATTTCATATATGGATTTAATTTCATTTGTTACTGAGACATCAATCTGCGTTTTGTACAGTGTGTCCTCTGTAACCACAAAAGTCCGTAGACAGAAGTGAATTTGATATACATTTCATAAATTGGTTTAAAACTATTGTTGCTTGCTAGGATTAATTAGTTTGTTCCACCTCTTCAAGTTGTGTTGCTTGCTACGTGTTTTGATACTTATGCTGATTGATTTTTTTATCCTACTGTTAACTAGGCACCTAAGGTCTATCCATATGACAACCTACGGGTGGAGCTTGGTGGAGAACCATAAGTTGATCCGTACAAGAAATTATACGGTGTCATTGTGTCACTCATTTTCCATGTGTTTCATTTACTTTTGGAACTCGACGGTTAAGTAATGTAAACTTGTGTGCTTTTTGCTGTAACACACATTTTGAACAAATGTGCATGGCCGTCTCATCATGTCGTCTTGGCAGACTTAAGATTATGATGTTCGTAAAGATCATCCGTGTACTTTTTTAATCACTTTGCCGATTTTCATGTTTCAGAATAAATGGTAAACAAGGTGATATTGCTTTCTGTTTCCTCTGAAATCATGTGTAGATTAGTTAGAAGCGTTTGGCCACAAAAGTGAGATTTTGATCTCGGGGAGACTCAATATGTTATAGACTTGATCATGGAAACTTGTAGGGAGAGAGCTACGAAAGGGTAAAAAAGAAAGGAAGGAAAAACCACTTGGCCGGGTAACAAGTTACAGGTTTTCTTGGCTATCTATATTTTGTTACCAAAAAACAGAAAAAAGCTGGACAGATTAATATATGCAGTAATAGGTTTTGATAACAAAGCTTTTTAAAATCATATTCATAGTTGAGTTACTATGGAGGTCAGTTCAAGGGATAATGAAGTTATAGAATGAAGAATGATGAAATCATAACCTAAATGACATATTTGAGTTTATTAGCATGTTTTATGATTAGTAATTGTACTATTGGAACCATTGAGTTTAAGACTTAGCACGTACGGTAGTCCTCACATGTTCTAAAATAAGTTTTCAATGCAGAACAATTGTGTCTTGGGGTTGCCCATGACTTGGAGGATCATTTGAAATGAGTCGGGAGGTTTTCAAGTATCGATTTTCCGTTTTTCTGACATGGGTGTCGAATTCGATGAGGTGGTTTCAAAACCAAAATTTTAGTACCTAAATTAAGTTTTGGGTTTCAATATTAGATACAAGTAGGGATGGGAGTGAGACTCAAACTCTACGGATTTTGACCCGTTCGACTCGGATTTTTTTTAAAAAAATCGGATTAGGTCAGGTTTTTTAGATGATATGTTCAGGTCGAATTAGAGTTTAGGGGTGAAAATATCCAACTTGACTTGAAAAAATATATTATTTTATATATTTAAGAATAATTGCAATAATACTCCTCTAAATATTATTTTTTCAATTAAATTCTTATTTTTATTGAATAAAAATAATATTTTTTTAATTATTATTTCGAGTCAAGTCGTGTTCGAATTTTATCTCAAAAAGTCGGGTTGAGTTCAGGTTGAGCTGAAGGTATATATTTTTCGAGTCGGGACGGGTGGAAGATATATAATTTTAGGGTTGGATCGACTGAAAACCCGACCCAATCCGATCCATATTCATCCCTAGATATAAGGGTTTCAATAATGGATATAAGGTTTTCGATACCGATCGTTTTGGATTTCGATAATGAATACATGTCTTTCGATAGTGATCGTTTTGGAGTTCAATGATGAATATAAGGTTTTCGATACTAACCATTTTGGATTTCGAAACCATAGGAGGGTTTTGAAACCCTCTTCCTTATTTTATTTGTGATACCTTAAAATTGAACTTTAAATTATTAAAAACAATCTTTAAACACATCTACATTTATAATATATTTAAATTGATTTTTTATAGTTATGTATATCCATTTACTTGAAATTCTTTTAATTTTATTTTTAGGGTGAATTACACAAATAGTTCCCTAACTATAAAATATTGTTTTGTTGAGTCCATAGATTATTACAATTTTCAAAATGATCATTCGATTATAGAGAATTCTTTGTTAAGTCCCTCGACTATTAAAAGTTACAAAATGGTTACTCGATTATTCATTATATTTCAAACTCATCATTTTCCGTTAAAAAATAATGGTCGTCTGAGCTGGACGTTAATATATTAATTGAGATATGATAGTTGTTTAAGATTATGAGATCATATTTTTATCATATCTCACTCAACATGTTAACGTCCAACTCATACTATCATTAAACTTTTAACAAAAAAATGAATTTAAAATATAATAAGTAGTCAATTGATAATTTTGTACTTTAGTCTTAATTTATTACTCATCGTGATATCATTCATTCAATTGAATTTTCAAACCGGATAAGGTGTGTTACATGGGTCCTTCATCTGTCAAATAGTTTGACTTATGAGGCAAAGTAATTGATGGTATTTTATATACCGTGTGTATGTTGAATGACAAAATACTCTTGTGTGATTAAATGTGTATACATAGTTTTAGAAAAAGAAAGTAAATTCATCTGATTTTAGTTTTAGATTCACTAATGCAATGTCTTATGTCCACATAATTTTACCAAACCCGGCAGGAAGTGTTGATACAAAACTTTTTTAAAGTTTGATATTAATTATTTTAAATATATTAATTAATTAAAATTTAAAAATATATATTTAAAAATTACTTTGTTTTTATTCTTCTTTCATATTTGAGAAAACCATGAATATAAATATGGATTAAACTAAAAATAAAAAAATGATTATTTTATTATTGTTTGGAGAATTTTCTGGACCAAAATTGTACGAAGTATCGTATAATGTTGATGAAAACAAATTTAGTTCATTGGTATTTAGTTATTCATTTTTTTATTTGAATAGAGTCGCAGTCAATAAGATAACGATCATTGATTGTTATTTTTGTATTGCAAAGAGTTGATCTTAAGGAAGAAGAACGGTGTTTATTGAAAAATGTATCAGTCCCTCTTTTAATAGCATTAAAGAGTATTTATAATGGCATTTAGTGTGTCTCAAACGTAGCGTCAATGTGGTTGTTTGTTGGTTGCCAGGTTAGATAAATCTAATATCCATACTTTAAGTTTCCCCGATAAATCATATAGATCTGTTATGGGTCCTATCTAAAAGTATTGTTTGTGCTTGTAGCTAACTTAAATGTTCCTTCTCAAAGGAACCAAACTATTTGGAAACTTCATTAGATGGAGTCAATCTAAGACTCTCAACTGGTGAAGAGTTAGTAATTTCCAAAAAAAAAAATAACATATAATAATTTTCATGAATTTAAAACCCGAATTAGTATTCTTTTATAGGAGTATACTCTTATACACAACACAAGATTTTATGTTAGTAGGGGTGAACGAATAAAATTTTAGAGAGGAGCGAACTCATAAAACTTCAGAGGGAGCGAAAACAGATTATCAATAGAAAATACATAAAAAAATCTAAAATGTAAAGAATTTGAAATTTTCAAGAGGCGATTGCCTTTACCCGTACCCCTCGATCCATCCCTGCTAATACAAACTCCTACTATAGGTTTAATTTGAAATTTTCAAGAGACGATTGACTCTACCCATACCACTTCGAGGTATCCCTGCTAATACAAACTCCTACTATAGGTTTAACTTTTCACTAGATAATCAAACCAACAATTGAAGCATTTTTTTATTGAACAATTGAAGCACCTTATATTGCATTGACGAGGATACACAATATTAATTAAAATATAAATATAAAGGAAATAATAAAAAGTAGTTTTATCTCATAATTAATATGCAAAATTGAAATGAAATTAAGTGTATAATAATTGAGATGTTACAGAAAAAAAAGATAACTTAATGATTTGAGTTACAAATACTAGAGCAAAATCACCATATAATTAATGTTCTAATTCGAGAAGACAATGAATGAGGTTTCACATGTTGGATTAGTGAAAAGAACACTGCAACAGCAAAATGCAAACCCGAGCTAGCTCGTTAATGAGTTCTGCTATATATATATATGAGCAGCGGCCGATGCAAAGCATGTTCAGGAGGTAGTCACGTGTTCACCTTGAAATTCGAATTTTTTTATATTAGTTATTAATTTTATTATTGGTGTTTACTCTAAAATTTTATTTGTGTCTATCATATATAAGTTTTTTAATAATTAATATATATATGTATACTCTCAAAAATATTTTTAAATCCGCTAATGTATATGACTATGGCACAGTCACAGTCTGTACCATCTACTGATCTTACAAGTAAGTATAGGCATAGCTTGGCAGTAAAATACTCAGTTCGAAAATTTGCGGAGAATCTTTTTTTCTTCTTCTTTGTTCAACCCAAAATCATTTGGCGATTTTTTCGATATATCACCGTCCACCGTTTTTTCCCGATCAGACACCGTTCATACTATATTTCCCGATCTAACACCATTTGCAGAAAGGCGTGTCCCATGCAGCGCGTTTAATGTGATTTGGTGCCACGTGGGGTAAGGCGCACCTTATGCCGACATGGGATACACGTGTGTATAGTGTGGCCCCCGGGGGCGCCTTAAGTCACGTAAGGTATAACGCGAGGCAGGGGCCACGCTTTACCTGAGAATCTGCCACGCGTTAGTAAGGCGCGCCCCCTGCGGCGCGCCTTAGGTATAATTACCCATCTACCCGACATTTCACCCCCATCCCTCCCTATAAATACCCCCATCCTCAATCACTTTCATCACACCAAATTCTCTCAATTTCTCTCAAATACTCTTATAATCTCTACCTAAGGTATATTTTATTATATTTTTAATATTTTGTATTTAATTTATTTAAGTATTTAATTTATTTAATATTTTACTTAATTAATTTTTTTGCAGATATAAAATGGAAGACGATCTACTTCGCTTGGATGGAAATCATATATCTCGATACTTTGTGATACTGTAACATCCCAAATCAGGGTCAGTGACTAAATTGCAAACTTTGAAAGTTTTGTGTTCAATTTAGAAATTAAATTAAAAGTCTCGGGATTTAAGTAAAGAATTTTAATATTGGATTAAATAGAAAAGATAGATGAACTAAAGGGGCAAAATGGTCTTTTCATTGGAAAGATTTTTATCTTCCCTTTTTGAGTATTATATAAACGTGGGAAATATGAGAGAGTTTCAGACTTCTCTTATTCATTCTCTTCTTTTCCACCGTGAAGCCATAAGCAAAAAGATCTATTGTTAGTTGATATTTTGCTGAATTTAGGATTTGGTTATGATTATTGGATGATAATTAAGCTTAAGGAAAGCTTAAATCATCTTAAAAAACAAAGGATGGTGGAATTAGGAGAGATTAAAGATTTTGAGTTTTTGAATGAAATCTTGAAATAAAGTTGATAAGTTGAATTTTAAGTTGAATTTGACTTGTCAATAGTTGAATTAAGAGATTTAGAGTGATAGAAAGGAATTTAGAACATGTTGAAATTTGAGTATAATTATTGAATTTCATTAAAAGGAGAAGATTTTGAGAATTAAGATGGGTTAAATGAGTACAAATGGGCTTAAGTATGTGTGTTTG